GTAAAAACGGGAATAGTCAGTTTTTTTTTTGTTAATGAAAAATTAATAATTGTTCCTAGTGATAAACCAATCCAATTTCTTTGTAAACTTTTAATACTGTTAGGTCAGTCTAATGTCTCTAAATCCTTTAACAATTGCGGAGCATATTGGGTAATTTTCAATATTCATTGCGGGATAGATTTTTGGCTAACTGGATAATTGCCCCGCTCGGAGACTTTTTGTCCGTCTATTGTTTTTATCTCCTCATTAGCCAGCACCGTTCCTAACTTTTCACACCAATAAACTGGCATCTCTTTATATTCGGCTAGTCCTTGACGATAGATTTGACAAAAAATCCATTGGGTTCAGTGATAATAATTCGGTTCACTGGTATTAATTTCTTTGCTCCAATCGTAAGAAAAGCCCATTTTTAATAATTGTTTCTTGAAGTTTTGAATGTTAGTATTAGTAAAAGTAGCGGGGTGATTACCAGTTTGGATGGCATATTGTTCGGCTGGTAAACCAAAAGCGTCTCAGCCAATTGGTAAAAGAACATTATATCCGCGCAAGCGGTAAAAGCGAGCCAGCACGTCCGCAATTGTATAATTACGTATATGTCCTACGTGCAAGCCACTCCCCGACGGATAAGGAAACATGGCTAAAATATACTTTCTGGGTTGAGATTTATCTAATAAGTCGGTAAAAAAAGTTTGCTTTTTAACTCAATATTCTTGCCATTTTTTTTCAACTTCGGAGTGGAAATAACTCATATTAATTAAGTTTTTCAATAGTGCTGGTATTCTAATGTTAATCTGTGGTCGTAATCTCTCACATATTTTTATGGCTAAAGAAGAATCATGAGCTACATATTATAATAAGGAGGTAATCCGGTAAGTATCTCATAGGCTACCATACTCCAAGAATAAATATCAGCAGATTGGTTATAACCTTTTCCCGGAGAGCTTCCGGGGCTACATAAGGGAGAACGCCATAAACTTCGCCTTTATCAGTTTCGTTAGCGGGTTGACATAAGTTCAAGTCAGAAATAATAAACACAACTCCATAATCATCAACCATACTTAATATATTCTCACTGCGAAAATCCCGGCGAACCAATCCTTTTTTATAAAATAAAATTTAACCCTATTGTAATAATATTAAAATATGATTTAACACTGTTTTCTAGTAGTTCTTAATAGTATGAGGAAATAGGCGACAGGATTGCTTTATTTGCGGTTGAGCAATACAAAACAAAAATTATCAAGATATTATTAGTTCTCATGAGGAGATTTATTTATATGGTTATTATCCACATGAATAACTTTTTCCTAGCAAGGTTCAGTTACTTTTGCTAATTCACCCTTTTAATGTCATCTTTACACCTGATTTGGTTTTTAAACTTGTCAAATTTAGTGCGTACTATTGTGGTATGCTTAGTAATTTCTTCATTAAAAATAATAGTTCTTAACAGATTATAAGTGGACATTTCATATTGTTCAAATCTACCTGCTAGCAACAAAGAAAATTTGGCTTATACCGTCTTTGACTAAATAAACAGCTTCTGCTATTATGTCTAGTACTTCATTATCCTTTAATATCCTTTAATTTTGTGTCACCGATACCGAGTGTATCGATTACTAAGCATCTGTTATTTTCTTTATTTTCAAATGCCTCAAACTGAATTTTTCTAGTTTCGCTAGCACTATCTTCGCTTTCTTTAAAGAAATTACCTGTCAGTAATTATGCTCTCCCTGTTCTGCCAATTAGAAGTATTTTCTTAATTTTTATCTTCGCTTTTTAGTTTTTTAGTTATCACCTTTAGGCGGAATTTCTATTTGGGCAACTTTACTTCCTCTCGTGATAACTCGGTTTGGGAAGAAATTGATAATGATCTTTTATTTCTAGTTACTATTTTATCTTCTATGTCCATTTCCTGCGAAACTAAAGGTTGAGTATTAATTTTTTGGAGATTAGAGCAGTTATCAGCAATCAAACTATTAAGTTGATTATCTTGACAACTCAACTCTTCAAGATTTTTGCATTCACTTAAATCTAAACTAGTGATTTTGTGTCCACGACAGTCTAATTTTTCTAAATTAGTGAATGATGACAATGATAAAGCTCCTTCTAAATTTTCTTCTATTCCGGATGGAGCATGTTTTTTATTTTTTTTAGGAAATTTTAACTCTTTCATTTCTCCCCTTTTTTCTCTAGGATAATTCTCATCCAATCATTTTTGGGCGTTTTTAATAGGCAGATTAGGGTTAGGGTTATTGGGTCCTCCACACATATCACAGTAATTATTTAATTTATGGGAATTATATTAAACTACTCAACTTAAATGTTAATTTTTATAATCTTATCGGTAGCTACAAGAGTTTATACGTTCAAATTGGGGCTAAAAAATAAGCCGCTATAATCTTTTCAGCATTTTGTCTTATCTAGCTCTATAAAACATTGCATGACATTAGTCAAAGACTATTAGTGCTTTGACACTTTATTACACTTCTTTAATTTCTGGCATATGATTAATTTTAAAATTATACAGAAGTTTTTTTACCTAAGTCCCGTTAATTCTACTGATTTATTAAAACCAGTAAGAACTTCGTTTCCTCGGTTTAAGCATCATGGTCTTTATCAAAAGCCCATAGACTTTGTTCCTCACCCAAAAACTAACTTCTCACTTTTTATCTATATCTTAATTTTAAATGGCTGGTGTAAAATTCTATATATTACCAATATTATTTTATCAAGAGGCTTTTTTAAAACCTGGTAATTTTCCTTCGTAAATATACTGGCGTAAGTGGATACGGCAAAGCAGATAATGGCGAAAAACTGCTCGGGAACGACCACATTCTAAGCAACGCGTATATTTACGGGTGGAATATTTAGGAACTTTCTGGACTTTAATTATTAAGGCTTTGCGGGTCATACTAATTTAATAAACTTTTCTTTATTCTTCATTTTTCTTTTTTTCTTGAAGGAGTTTTTTTTCTAATTTTTGGCGTTCTTGCTCGACTTGGCGGTCAATGGATAAAGTAATAATGGCTTTTTGGACTTCTTTTTCCGCGACGGCTAATTTCATTTGGTAAGTTATTTTTTCTCTTTTTAGACTTTCCCGTGTAAGAGGCAAAGAGGTTTTTTTGGCTAAACCTACTTTCTGCCAGAACCTTTGCCAAGAACTGGGCTTTTTTTCCTCCGCCGCGTCTATCCCTTCTTTACGTAATAACTCCATTTCCTGCTCTTTTCTTTCTAATTCGTTAATTTTTCCTTGTAACCTTGCCACGCGGGTTTGTGCTTCGGTGAGTACGCGAGTATCCTCAGCAATTTTTTCTTCATTTTTCTTTTTTTCTTCTACGCGCAGTTTTTCGCGATTTTTATACTCTTTACAATAGCCTAATAAGCATTCCTGGGAGCAAAATTCGGCTCCTTCTAACACTTCAATAGCCAGCACTGTTTGTTCTTCTTTCGCTAATTTATAAGGAAACCCGCTAGCAATATTAATATCACAAAAATAGCAATAACCTCTTTTTACAACTTTTGACCGCAAAGGAGTTATCGGAACTACTTTGGTTTCCATTTGTCGTAAAATAGTAGATTTTTCCTCCCGCAAAAGGCTTAGCAAATTATCAAATTTTTGTAACAACTCATTTCTTTCTTCTTGGAGAATAAGGTCGCTTTCGGAAAAACGAATATTATCTAACTTATTTAAAACCTCTTCGGATTTATCACTGATATTTTTGGTATGCTCGACCAGCCCCTCCCATACTTTTTTTTTTTCTTCTTCGTTAAGGTTAGTTTTAGCCAAAGAGTAGAGTGAAAGATTAATCTTTTTCACTAATTCTTCGTAATAGCCATTATATTCATTATACCTTTCCTTGGCTCATTCAATAACTGAGTAATTCATTTATATTTATTATTAGTAATTTTATATCAGTTATAGTTAGTTATTAGTTAACTAGATAAGTTATTAACAACAGCAAATTAATTCCGTCGGTAAATACTCGCACTGGTATACTCTTGTCAACATCAGGAAAAAGCACGGTATAGCCCCCACCTCCAAGCCTATATTTCTTTAATCTTAGGAGCTGATATAAATTCTGACAGATAGAACTCTAATTCTCAACCTTTACAGCTATTTAACCACTTTTTGAGTTCAGTAGTCCCGTTAGTATTGGCTCAATAAGCCACACTATTGAGCGGGGACCATTGTTTTTGGGTGCGGTTTCACTTCCGTTGGATAATTTGGTGGCAACGGTCGCAGGGAATTTGGGGAGAATTCATAGCGTTAGTTATTTAGTTCAATAAAACTTTTTTTTTTGCTTATCTCTTTCATTAACATTAATTTTAAGAAGTTAACAATCTATAATAAATGCATTTTATAACTAAACCTTCGCTAAAACCCTTTTCACACACGCTCCCATGCCCATTATTTCACTACTCTCTAACTGACCATTCTCTCCCACTCAGTAAGTCCGATATTTCCCTCAACTATCCGTAGTAACAATTATCCCCACTATTACTCGGCGGGGGGGGATTATTTCCTGCTGCCTTCCCTTCTCACTTTTTGTAAAACTTTCAATAGTAAATAATTTCCGGTCTAACTTATCTTTTAATTCTATTTTCGGAATTATTATCATCCTATGATTTAACGGTTAGTATTAAAAATATATTTATTAAATGAAACTATGTCCTATATTAATAAACCTGGTAAAACTACCGCTTGACGTAATCATGTCATAAATAATTTAGTAGCGGATGCTATTTTATATGAGAAAGTAGAAACTAGTTTGCCAACAGCTAAAAGTTTAACCAAATTACTGGCCAAACTTATTGGCTGAGCCAAACAAGATAATTTGCATTCGCGCCGCCTGGCTCTGCGATATTTGGTAAACAAAAAGCATTTGGGAGTGGTGAATAAATTATTTACAGATTTAAAAAGCCACTACCAAGAGCGTAAAGGTGGTTATAGTCGAATTACTAAATTAAATTATCGAGCTGGTGATAATAATTTGCGGGTTATCTTTTCTTTGGTTTAGAGAAGAGAAATTATGCCTAGTTAGCTCAGCGGTAGAGCGTCCGGCTGTTAACCGGTTGGTCGTAGGTTCGATTCCTGCACTAGGCGCCATTTTTAATAATCATGACCGAATTTAAGGTTCAATGTAAATATTTAGGAAAAAGAAGAAGTCAATTTTTCAGTGATAAAGAACCAAGGGAATATCATCAATTTTCAGTAATTAATGCTAAGAATTTACCTGATAAATATTTTTTTAATATCCCGAAAAATGACGACTGGGATAATTTCTGATACTATTGACTTTGGATATCCGAACATTTAGTAAAAAAAGCAAATATTGATTTTGAAAAAGATAAAAATTATCAATTTATCATGATTCTCGGAGAAGAAAAGACAGCCAATTTCAAAACTAAAAATCTCTATGACCTTAGTGCGAAAAATGATAATAACATGGCTTTAACAAGTAAAAAATATTTCAAAAATACTGTCAAAAAAATCGGTTACTGAGAAAATGAGAACTATTTTTACGAAAATAATGCTAAACCAACTACTCCTAAACAAAAAAATAGTACTAATAAGAATAACAATTTAGTTAAAATTGTCTATTTTGTTGTGCCTATTCTTTTGTTGGCTTGCTTTTCTTTCCTCCTTATCAAACGAATAAGTAAAAAAAGTAAAACGTAATATAATAATAAAACATGTTAGCCAAAAAAAATTATCAATTACACGAAAAAGATACGGGCTCTACGTCTCTCCAAATAATTTTGTTAAGAGCAACAATAAAAAAAGAAAAAGTTCATTTAGAAAAAAATAAAAAAGACATTCCCGTCAAAAGAGCTCTCTTAAAAAAAATAGCCCAGGAAAAAAGATTTTTTCATTATCTCCACCAGCGTAATCCTGATATTGCCAAAAAACTAAAAAAAGAATTAAAGAACAATTAGATTAATTACTTGGAAAAATTGCTAAATCTGTTCTTGTTATTTAGTACAAAATTACGACGCTATTACCAAAATTATTAATAAGAACCAAATAGTCGCCAAACTTAAAAAATAATATAAGAGGGCGAGTGGTTGAGAAAGAGATTTAATTTATATAAGTTTGT